ACAGTAAATGAAAAGAAAACTTCTTTTCTTAGAAAAAAATAAATCGTACTCTGTATAAGTAGAGTAATCTGGGGTAATTATAACCAGACACACACTTTTGCAACAAGTGGACATTAGATGGTTGCGTTTGACTGGTACGCTTTTCATACGTAGCGACAGCTGCATTCCATATCTGAGATGATCGAATCGAAATTGAGTAGTGACATTTATACTGGGTAATGGAATTGATCAATTGAATTGGCTGATCAAAGAAAAAGATGCTAAAAGAAGAAAAAGAATAGAATGCATATTCGTTAAATTCAATGGATAATAACCAAATCGAAAGTGATCTTAATTAACTTCGAGTAAATATTATTTTATTAATTATAATTAAATTAGATTTATTTAAAGGATCAATTGGGAATTTTCGAACTAATTGAAGTTGTTGGGAATGGCACATAAGGACAAGTTTATAAAGTATCTTCCTCATTTATTCTTTCAATTAATCATTCTTTTTTTATAAGGGGTCGTCATACTAAAACAGGTCCATTGATTGCAATTAAAGTTACGGATGTTACAGAAGTTAGTTTGTTATATATTTATTTATTTTCTAGATAATCTTTTTATTAGGATGAAGAAGAAGAATTAAAATTGAAAGTTAATGTTTTAAAAAAAGTAAATATTTATTTATTTTCTTTTTAAACTCCTTTTAATTTAGTATTCAAATGATCGAAATATTGCAATGTATTATACACTACATTTATGGAGCATTTATTAATAATTTAATTTCAGAAAGAAATGAACATGATCAGTTATGGATATGTCTCGTTTTCTTGTGTTTCTTTTTTCTTAATAAATTTGTTTAAAATAAGTTGATAATGGAATATTGTGGTACTGGATTATTACATCACTTTCGACATCATCATCCATTACAATTTTAAATATTAAATTGGAACGATGTTACAAATTACAATAACATCGTTTCTTTGATTGACCGAATTAGTGATGGGACGAAACGACTTCGAATATAACAAAACAATAGTAAAATATATACACGATAAGAAAGAAAAAAAGAGAATAATCGTTTCGCTTTAGTCATTTCTTTTCTCCGTTCTGTTTTGTTTTATTCAATTATGACGATATTTTCGTTCGTTCGTATCGTCTGAAAGAAAGCGGAACCTATACGTCAGACATTAAATTTCCCTTCGACCGTTCTATTCTTTTTCTTCTTTTAGCATCTTTTTCTTTGATCAGCCAATTCAATTGATCAATTCCATTACCTAGTATCACTACTCAATTACATTTATTTTAGTCATATTCAAACATTCTTCAATTACATTTTCTTCTACAATTGTGTCATTTCTTATGTGTTACCTAATTCAATATTCTTTATCTTGTTAAGACATTGTAATAAACTTTCAAAAAGATTTCTTTATCAAATATGACTATCAAAAAGATTAATTCTTTCACAAATTCAAAATCTCCGACGACATTGTTAATCATGCTTACAGAATCAATTCTCATTTAAATATTAAATTAACTGCTGATTTTAAAACACTACCGACCAATACGCCAACCTAAATTGATGTCGAATCCCATTTTATACTTATCAGTTTTTTCCGATCTGAATCACATGGAAACAGAGATGTCCATTGTACCTGAAACGATATGAAAAAAATTATCGGAATGGCTGCTGACACCACCAGAGGTGTCAGCAATGGCGACTGACACCACTAACGTAAGAGGTGTCAGCAAGAGCTATTGACACCTACTGGAGGTGTCAGCAATGGCTACTGGTGCCACCATCAGAGGTGTCACGAAGGGCTATTTACACCTCCAACGACAATATAATTTATATACGTACAAGAAGAACAAATATCTTCAAACGCCACATTTTAGTCTGCCAAAAATACAAATGTCTCCATTTAGTCCACAGATCTTCCTATAAAAAAGTTTACTTTACACCAAAAAAGATTTTAATTGGAGATGGATGGATCTTTACTGTGGTAATAGGAAAAATAGGAAATGAAATAACTTTAGTCGAATGAAAAATGAAAATGGGCCCGCATTTCGTGATACGTCATCCTTTTGCGTTCTGTATAGGTGAATACTGTTAAATTAACAGTTAATGATAATCTTAAGACATTTACTTTCGAATTTGATTTCCCAAAATACCTGAGTGAATGATCTGCATATTTATGTGGATCATCCAAAATGGGAATCATGGGTTCGTCAGACAGATCATGAAAAGCAGTTAAATACGGATGCCTCAATGCTTGATCGGATGTTGGCCGATCGCGATAATCAAACTGAAGTAATAATGCGAAAGTAAATGCCTTAAGATTATCATTAACTGTTAATTTAACGGTATTCACCTATATTTTTCAATTATGTTTCGCCATTCCAAGTCCACTGTCTTATCCAATGTCGTGGCGCGAGTCGCTTAAAAAATTTGCGGCAGGATCGCGTAACGCGTTCGCTGTAAGACTCGCGAAATAAGACGCGATTTTTAGCGATCGCTATTTTATCGCACTCATACATAAATCAATGACTCTCAGTATTTTGCTATAGTTACCATTTATTCGCGTTTTCCGTCTAATATCAGTAAATGAGCCATGCTACTTTTATCGCGAACGCAGACGAATGGCGTACGCGCGATGTGACTATGCAAGACTATATTAGCCAAGTCGTAAGCAGTTAGGACTTTATTTGAATTAGCGGCCAGATTAAAGGAAAAAATGAAAATAGCCGAAAATTTTGGACCTATATCTCGAGAACAAGGTGCTAGACTCCCGTCTTCACCAGCTGATAGAACTCTTTCGAGCTCCTTCAAACGCCAAGTTGGTCACTTTTAACGAGAAATCCGTCTGTTTTCCTTCCGTCAAGAGTTGGTCATATCTCAGGAGAAATGGGTCTCTTTTTGTCAAAACCCTAATGAAAACCTTACTCAAATCTTACTAAGATCTAAGAAAAATCTTGTTAAGATCTTACTAAGATTGTACTATCTAAGAGTTTTTCAAGATTAAATAAGAATGTATTAGGATCTTAATAGTAAGAACGATAACATTTTTTAAATAATATTCATCCGAGATTTACTGAAAATTTTTCAAGTTTTAATCCGCATTATCCAAAGCAGCAGTTGAACAGCGTTGAAGAATGACGAGAAATTTCATATTTTCCGGTGTCTAACTATGAACCTTGACCTGCATGTACACTCTTTAAAAAGTTGTTGAACACTTTCGAGAGAGCAAGTACCAGCAGAGTCTGACAGAAAAATAATCGTATTTATTAACCGTAAAAATACTCATATTTTTGGTTACTTATATAGATGAATGAGAGCAAAACAAAGGGTGAATGAAAGCAGAGTCATTAAATCTTATTTTGATCTTGAACGATAAGATCGTAGATTATCTTATCAAAATCTTAAAGGATAAGATCTTAGTGAGATAATTTTAAGAAGCGTGTGAGAATTTTACTAGGAAAGTTGGTCATTTTTAAGCAAAAATCACTGGTTTTTTGTCTAGATTTGGTCATTTATTCGGAAAAATCAGTCTTTTTTCCTCAAAAGTTAAGCATTTATCAGCGAAGATCCGTCTTTTATTTTCGAAAAATCGGTCTTTTTTCTGCCGTCTAGAGTTGGCTATATCTCACCTTTGAAGCTTTGAATTGGTGATGCAGAGAGTTTAATGAGTCCAAACCAGTAAAACATTGAATTTTCTTCCATTCTTAGTCATATTCACATTCGAACTGTTTAAACCTTACAGTTTCTCGTCTGTTTGCCCAAATTTTTGCATCAAAGAAAATTTAAAGTTTCCTTTCCGAATGTTTATGGGTTTCATGCACTAAATTACACAAACACTATTCGATTTTCGTTACTATCATATTTGACTGCGTATTTCTTTCAATGCTACGATAGAATGTAGTTAATTATTTTGCGTTTTAAAATCAACGTCATTAGACGATCGGCTAATTTTGTTTTATCTGTAAATAAATATTAATTTTATATTACTTTTCTGCAAGGAATTATATATAGATCATATGATTTTATCTCTTGCGATGCAGTAGTAATCTGATGTTCTTAAGTCTGAATGAGCTGAAAGTACTTTTGTTTATCGTTCTACATGCAAATAATTTCCTCTTTATTATTGTGCTAGTCTGCGATTTGAACTGCTATTCGATTAAGATGACTCTTTGTGCTATTTACCACAGCGGGACGCCACTGACATTTGACCGCAAATAATTAGTAGTACCGGAAAAATTTTGTTAAGAATGTGCAGTTGTTTGAATACTAATAGAAGAAGTTTCTGTCTGAGACACTACAGTTCATACAGTAGTACTTACAGATCCTGTAGGGTATTTATGATACTTATCTTACTTACTTATGAAAGCTGAGAGAGTTAGAACGTTTGCACCTCTACTATTCTATACGCTTTAAATAAAATCTTTTGTCAGTGATTTTTCTAATAGAAAATCTTTGCATTAAAGTACCTCGCATACACCGAAAAGCGAGAGATTATAAATATGTCCATCTGACCAGTTTAAATCATTAACCGTCATCGTCTTTCTTCAAGTCGGTTATCATCGTCATCGCTATTATTATCATTATAGCCACCATCTTGGTTATCATCAACGTCAGCTTTATCTTCGGACTTTTCAATTGGTTCTTCAACTGTTATTGGTTGGTGTTTAAATGCTGCACGCTTCAATTTGGTGACATTCGGTGAGTTTGATAGTACTCCATCGGTTGTGCTCGTATTAGCAGCAGCCAATTCCGTTACGAGATCATCAATTGCTGCCTGCTGATGTTTATCTGCGGTTATTGTTGTTGATACTAATCGTAATGTTTGGGATGCCTGTATCGTTGTTTCAGAAGTATTCTGTATGATCAGATGTTCTTGTTGTACTATATCACTTTTCGCATCTGTGCCCAGGATTTTAACTGCTCTTTTGGGTTGATATAGCGTGCGTGATTGTACGCAACAAAATAGAAGAAAGAGGGCTAGTAAACCAATTATATATTTAGCTGCGTTTGCCATACTTCAGCAACACTTTTAAAAACTACACGTGTATGTGTACGTGTCTGATTATGTAGGCTATATACAATTAAGATACACTTTTCTTTTTTATAAATTTAATCATTGCCACTTGTTTGTTCTTGTTTATAGTACATTTCTATTCCCTTTCTTTGTTCTTACGGCGAGATGAAGCATTCATTAGTTTCAAACTGCTATCACAACGCTTTTCTTACTGATGAAATATACTTAAACTAGGAACGTATCAGAAACGACTTGTCATGTCGTTGTGACTACGAAAACGGATTTCATAAGAGGTTTGCATCAATATAAGGTGAATAAATGTTACTGTAATTCATTATTTCGGTTTTCTGAATTTAATATAAAAAATATGATATTTTATGAATAAATCTACTCTCTAGGATACCGATATGTCGACACTGCTTGTGTTTCTTAAAATAAGCTGACGTGAGAACAAGGAGATTCTGAACAGTATACGATATTAATGAATGATTGAGAATAACGGCGGTACATAAATTTTTGTATTTTCTTGCTTAGTTTAGCTGTAGCTTGGATATTTTCATAGTTTTCCACTTTTAAATGCAATAGAAAGTGAAAAAGAAAGTTATAATAAAAAAAGCTCTACTTTCTATTTTTCTAAAGATATTTCAATTTTACGCTTATTACACCCTAACACGATCCTATCATGAGTTTCATTATTAATTTCATTTTTCTAAATTTTTCTTATCGATTAAAATTATTAATTAGTATCTTACTGCTTCTATCATTGCTCACATATCTAACGACTGATTGGTAAATCTTTTTAATATTTGCTGTAGAATTATGATGCTGTTTCATCTATTTTATGACATATGTGGACGAATAAATTAATATGTGTTTAGCCTTCACATAAAACATGGTTTTTGTTGTGTTTGTTCTTCTGTATCATTTTCTTTCCTTTTTTCATGATTAAGCGGATTTGACCAGAATAGTGCAAAAAAAATGCCTAATGTATTACCGTAGAAACACGAATTTGCATACCATACCTTTATCACCTAGTAAAAAAAAAGCATAAATATATGTCTCGTTTTTTATGTCATTTAGAAGGATGATCGTGCATGTGCCCTTTATTTTGCAATAAAATTACTCTAATCTATATCTTGCTTTTATCTGAATGCATACATATTTTGCAGTCACTAGTAAGCAATGAAATAGTCTGTAAGTGTTACGTATGTAATATTTCAGAACTTTATTAATCATCAAGGAAACTATAATAACCTTAACTATACGTCCTCATTCCATATTTTACGTAGTTGAGAATGTTATCAAAAACTCATAATCTGAGTTAATTGGAATATGCTAATGTCTATGGTAATGGAGATGCTACCAGCCAATAAGTTTGACTATGGAGCAGCATGATTTGACGATAATGCTGCTAGTCGCATGCATCAGAAGTACACTATCGAAGTTCGGTCATGTGAAGCCACGTGATAACTTTAGATGAGTCACTTGAGTCGTCGTCAGATTACTCGTTCGATAGTATAGTTACTATGCTGGAATATTGTGGCGTTCAACATAAAGCTAGTATGTGGTTTGAGATTGTGTATGGATAGTTCAAATAATTGAGGGAAAGAACTGTTCAAGACTAATCTCCTAGCCAGAGCTGTAGTTAATGATTAGTAGCGACATAGGTGACCATCTTCGAAGACGGTCCGACGCAAAAGAGACACCGAATTACTCGAAACTGGCGCATCTAAATTTTCAGCAATGGTTCTCGCAAGATCACGCATTCTTTCTTGCTTGAGTACTAAACCAGAAGCTTTGTTAATATGAGACTTCGACAGATCCGTACTCTGTCATATCTCGAATACTGTAACAAGACGTCCTGAAGAACCAGATTTAATATCGTAATTATGTTTTTAAGCTAACTAATGACATGACTGCCGAAAAGAAGTGTGTAGCTTCAGTTTTCTTGCATTTGAGACCCGGGAAGTCTGTTTGTAAATGATGAGTTTCTCGGATTAGATAGCATAGACTGTAGAATAAAACGTGTAGGATTTTCAGACACTCCATTTCCACTTCCCAAAATTTTGCTCAAAAGCGATTTTCGCATTGTCTTGTTGGAACTGTGATTCTAGAGCAGAAGAGCTACTTCGCGGTGCGACGCACGATAGTTGGGATGGAAGTCGAGAAAATATCTTTTCAGAAGTTCCTGGTTTGATAATTTTTGAAAAAGTCGCATTCCTTCCATCGGGAACACGATTCTTCATGCAAAAATTAAACTTCAGAACAAAGAATTAAGTAAAACTGTAATGTTTCTTTCGTTTTTCAATATAAGTTCAACTACAAAACCAAAGGGTGAATGAGTTCTAGACCGTGACTCACGCCGCGATTACAGTTTTTCTCACATTTCGCGAAGCGACTGCAGGAATTTTGTTGCGTCAGAATTATACATAGCAACTCACTTGAGGAGTTTCTCCTCTAGGATTGGGTCGCGCTGAAAACTCTTATCGTGAGTCATTGCTAATATTTTTTGAAAAAGAAATATTCTATTGTGATCCCAATGTGGTAAGCAAATGGCTATAGCGATCACGAGCGAGACAGTGGGATCATGTCATGAGTTTAGCATGAAAGTTGACTTGGGTAGATTTGTCAGGCAGTAGACTAGTTCCACAAAAAGGTTGCATAATACAATGTTCAAATCGCCAAACAATGGTTCAATCTCTTAGAATTATACAAAAAAATTGCTTTGTGAGAAAAATTTTATGTTTTCGTTTTTGACAATCATAAAAAATCGTTTTATATGTAATGAACCACACTACAAATGGCCACATTTTTCCGAGGAAAGAGGTGATGTGTCGATGTTAATGAAGTGTATTACTAATATCATTCACTGAGTGAATGATCCAACTTTTCAGCGCACCAACCTTTCCGCGAACCGCAATCGTGTTTCAAATCCTTCTATTTATATAAAGTATAATCTCTGACCATAACTGCTGTTGATGAGAGAGGTGCCTCTCTAAATCTATCTGCATATGGTATCTGAATATGTTACTGAGAGATTCCAAAAAGAGTATCCCGGAATGGAAATACCCTTTTTTGGTTCTGTACGATACGAAAATTTTTTAGAGAGTAGACCATATCATAAGACGTAAGAATGAGCCATCTGATAGTATTTCTTTAGAAAGATGATATTTGCTTATGGTCGAACGTTGATAAAAGACATAATACGTAGTTCGTGAAAGAGCCGGTAAATTTATCAAGTACGCTATGCTAACATGAAATAGATGATCATCAAAATTATTGCAAAATATTAATGTAACGTTTGTTTTATCTGTTCAATTTGATTCTGTACTTCTTCTTCATTAGTGAGAAAGAGTCTCTTACTTTCGAAGATTTCTCAAACTCTTCAAAAATCAAAGTATTTTCTATTAGTTTTAAAACATTTATTGAGCTTGGTCATAGCGTAGATAAAGCACAGAGAGTCTATATTTTAAAATACCTCACCGTAATATTGATGAAGAATGATTGCCTTTTTCATGCTCGCGCTCTTAATAACATTTCGTTTTAATTGTTCAGTTTTTAGAACTGACAAGAGCTGGTGTAACGCAGATCTTCGCAAACTGAGAGAAGAATAAAGTTCTTTTGTTTCAGAAATACTTAAGAAGTCAGAGAGACGGCTATAACAATACATTTTTATACACTTGTAAACCGTAGTTCTACTTAATTACGCGATATCAATCAGCCCAGAGAGCGTTAATAGTTTCTTGTCCACAAATCAATGTAGTATCAATACTCCTTGTTTGCAAGGGCAAATTCATCCTTGTTTTCTAAACAAGAATGTCAGAATGATCTTTTTCAAATGGTGATGCGTCACGTGATCAGCGATTCATACTTTCTAGTGGAAATGTAGACTCAGTTATTTCTTTTCTGCAAAATGCGACAAACCTGTTACATATGAGAAATTGCTGCAATTCAGAAGCATCGGTTAACGTGTCAGTAATACTTATGTACTGAATTTAGTCCGAATGTCTTGTGTATGAATTTTAGATTATTATTGTTAGTACTGAATAATGCCTCAATTGCAAGTAACAATCGTTGAAGCTCGAGGTTTAAAACAACAAGACACGTTTAGTGCTAATGATGGATTCGTCGAAGTGTATCTTGATAAAAACTATAAACAAAAAACAAAAACAAAGAAAAACTCAAATAAACCGCAGTGGAATGAAACGTTTGTGTTGTAAGTACAGACTTACTGATAATTACAGGAAGACAGAAACAGATTGAATTAAAAAATAACTTGAACGTACGACTCTCATTGAACAGGATGATTTAACAATACCCATAAATGTTCTACACTGTCAAAGAAGGATTTTGTCAATGTGATATTGCACACAGTGTAAATGTATTTTAGTAACCATCAAACGGGTCAAGATACTCTGTTTTTGGATGTATACGATCAAGATTTGTTGACAAAGGACACAATTGGAAAAACAACAATCGATTTGAAAAAAATTTATGATAAAGGTAAGGAGAAGAATAACAAACAAAGTTATATACAAACACGTACAAATATTTTAGGTCATCTTGATGCATGGATTAAATTACCACACAAGACGGATCATACATCCTCGAATGGAGAATTACATGTGATAATTGATTATCAAACCTTCGATAAACAATACGCTTATTTATAAACTTCTGGCTTTTTTTGTAGCGAGTGATCTTTTAAGCGTTTTAAATAGTATTTAAATTCCAGTTCGACTGTTGAAAGGTGATAGAAATTCGGATGAATTGTGCTATTATTAGGTTATTTCCTTTATTTGATGCATATATATTCGCTACAAGTTTACTACCCTTTTCGATGCGAAATACGTCGGAAAGAAGATGATATTTTACTCTAATTGTACTTTCATTTTCTTAACCAACAAATATTCAAACCTTATCTCATGTGACCAAATCGTGTCACGAATGTGAGAACCGATCCGAAATGTTTGCAGTATTTTCAAGTTTTGATTCGTACTGTCCAAAAATGAGAGGACCAAATTGATGCTTTTCATCGGGATGAGACAGTTCCAGTATGTTTGAACGAATTCTCAGTTAACAAATATGTTGTACGACGCTTATTTAGTCATAGAAAAGCCTAAACCTCAAAAAATTCGGACTGGTCCTTACTAGACCCGCAGTTATCAAGACTTCCTGTTTGTTACTTTTCTCTCAATTTCTGTTAAGAGCATATACGTCAGACGACACAGAATACTACGGTAATTCGATCATCAGTGTCGATCATCTCATCCACTTTTATACATACACAAATTCTGTTTGTTCGATGAATATCAAAACAGTCATGATAAGGTGGTCCTACAAACACTTATTGAATGGAAAAAACAGATCAGAGTTAAAAAAGTTTCATCTTTTCAAAGAAGGGTTTGGTTTTGAGAAAAAAATCTGCATTTAACAAGGACTAAAGTTGAGATTTAGAGCTATCGAATGGTAAGAACATACTTTTCTAGCTATTCGTTCAGCAGCTAATGACGTTACACGTTTTCTTGTCTTCATCGTAGGGAAACGTTTATTTTCTACTCACTGTAGTTACATATTCCATATAGATAGTATTTTTTACATTCCACTTAAGATTTAATTTGTATACATTAGACGGTGTCTTCTTTTACTTCTGAAAGTTGAAGAATTGAAAATCAGAACAAAATAACGAATCAAAATACACAAAGTAAATAATCACTCTCATTCGATCTATTTCTGCATGTCTATTGTATGCTTCATTGAATTAATACAGAATGCAATGAATTCTGCTCAGCGAGTTTTTCGTTTTACAAATAAGTGCTCACTGTCGACTGATGATTATTAGAACTGATAGTAAATCTTTGATAGGTTTTTAATAAATATAACGTGCGAATGATAAGAAATGATGCTGTTAAGTTAAATATTCCTGATATAGCATTTTTTACAGTACAATAAACGTTTCTCTTCAGCAATAGAGGCATCACAGCTCAAAGTGTCCATGTCAAAATGGGAGCTAAGCGAGACCTTGATTTTTAGTAGTTCGAATGTAACATCAGCTCTCCATGGAGCTTTAAGGCTAGTATTGGGTAATTTAGGGTAGTATTAGAGCCTCATGGACATACGCCAACAGTCACACTGAATGTGGTGGCAATGCTATCTTTAACAGAAGAATTTAAAAAGTCGAAGAAGGCGAATTTTGTAAAATGAAAGTTTTCAGGTTGTTTTCAACTAATATTAATAAACTTACAACTTACGCAAAATACATGATAATAACTGCAAAACTTCAGAATATGCATTATTCAAGCTACTGGATATCCTGCTTATAAATATTTACAAAAATAAATTTTTCAATCAGCTCTAATGGTATCGTAAGTTACCCGATACCAGTCTCTAGCCTCCCTGTAGATCCGCTACCACGTTCGAATCACAAGAAATCAAGGTCTCGCTTAACTCCCATTTTGAAATGGATATTTTGGGCTATCCTTTTATGAAGAAATTAAACATGTGTATTTGAACATTTTGCGTTGTGATCAAGTTTTCCACCAATCTCCTAGAAAATCTGCTTACAAAAAATACTTTTTAATTAATATCTGTTACAAAAAGATGCTGAATGATGAGAACCGTAACACTCGTGTTCTTTACATTCACGAGATATTCAAAAGAAAAATTTAAAAATTTTTACATCAGATAATGTTTGAATGTGTGGAAATATGTCACAAACGTTATATAACGAGCCAAAACTCATTTAACGTTTTATAATGTGAAAATGTGTACTAATAATGCTTTATAGTGTATTACTGCATACATTTTCACTTTATTAAACGTTTAATGAGTTTTTGCTCGTTATATAACGTTTGTGACATATTTTCACACATTCAAACATTATCTGGTGAAAAATTTTTAACAGTGCAGTCAACAGCCTTCTTTTTTTTTCACGATTAATAATATACAGAAACAGAAAAAAAGACGAAAGAAAAAAAAGTACGTGCATTAGTCATGTAAGAGGAAAGTTGCATAACGCTGAAGAAAGTTGTAGTATGCATTGTTCTTTACACTATTCGTTTGCTGATTAGTGTACAAAAAAACTTCATAATGATCAAATCTGAAAAATTTTGGGAGGATGAACGGGAAGCGCCTCTCATGCAATTGAATCGACATTTTTTGAAATATCCGGTGGATCCAGAAATCTTTGTTCGAACATCGAAATGGCTTTCAGTGTTGCCTGATCTCCAGTTATCAACGTTAAAAAAGGAAGAAGAATGTCAATCTGAACGAATCATTCTACTTGATGCGGAGCGAACATTTCTTGGCAATGTTCAACGGCAAAAATTAATAAAGGTTTTGAATTCTTTTAAAAATGAATTTCAAACATATCATCAAGGTCTCTCTTATATCGCCGGTTTTCTACTGTTGACAATCGAAGAAGATGATGTTGTTCGAATCTTACGACATTTGAATAGTACTAACTATTGGAAACATGAAGCTGTGCAATTAGCAATCGACGCCTATGTATTCGAACATCTCATGAATGAATTCTATCCCAAACTCAATGAACATTTAATTAAAAATCGAATCTTGCCCGAAACCTACTGTCAAAAATGGTTCGCCGCACTGTGTGTCAATGTTCTCCCATTCGAAGCTCTATTCCAATTTATTGAAAATTTACTGTTTTATGGCACAATTTATTTATTTCAATTTGCACTGAGTTTGGCAAAACATATTCAGAATGATCTATTAGAAACCAATAATTCGGGTACGATCTATCAATATCTCCGTTTAGATTCGTCGCTTGCAAAATTCAGAGATAACGCAATTGGAATGGCTATTGTCAATGAAGCACTATCGTACAATCTTGCGACGTACGATTTTGAACAACTTAGAAAACAAGCGTACGATGAAAAATTGAAGGCGCGCATGGAAGCAGCAAAGCAGTGTCATCAGCAACATGCTGATACTGATACTGATACTGAGAGTGAGAGTGAAGACGAAGATGATAGTTTGGAATGTCAGCTGTGTAACAACCTCGTGCCCGATTATGTTTGTATAAAATGCAATAAATTCATATGTGACCGATGTTCAAAACGATCAAGCGAACATACATGTAGCAGAGAAGCATTACGACGTCTTGATGAAGAATCAACAGATGTGAATAGTATTGTCAGTAACATAAACAAATTAAATATCAAATAAAATTGATGATATCCTATTTGGCGTTTTCACAGAATGGGAAGGATCCATTCATTTTGTATCCATACTAAAACTTAGAGAATGGATTAAATAACATTTCTGATTAAGTACGCTCCATGATTATGAGTACATCCCTCATTATGCTAGAAAAAATTATCATTTTTGAGAGAAACATGATGCATGATGAAATTAATCAAGATTCTAAAAAATTTAAAAACATATAGAAAACATAATTAAACAGCAAACAAGACAAAATAAGTTTGTACAAGTTCACGAGACGTTGACGATGAAAGTATTGTACAAATATGAGTTATGTGCTTTCTTGAATCGCCCCAAGCGGGATGAATCAAGAAAATTGTGGAGCGAACCAGTAAAACCACTAGAAAACCGATACAATGACGTATTTTGAGCCTATTTTTCACAAGTGTATCAATGAGAGTCTTGCCTATATGACTGCCAATGTACGCAAAAAGATCTCTGAAATTAAAATATGCATTCAGCAAATATTGGCATGATCGCGCAATTGTTCTTGACTCACTCTACACCACGCTACAAATGCATATAGATACACGTCTTATTTCCTTCTCTTTTGTTTCTGTTTCTTTCTCCTTCCTATATTGTATAAGCAATAAGCAAAGAATTATTTTTTCTCTCGTTACAGAATCTCTCAAAGAAGAGAGATACACAACCTGTATATAACAGAAACACGAAATCTCAAATGTCACTTTAGGTAACAGCCAATGTTCAGTGTTTGTGAATGTTCTTTTCAAATTTCAACGGAAGAAAAACTGAAAAAATTTCGTTGGGTTTAGTTTCAATAATTTTTCTAATCAAGTTACTGAGAAAAATTCTTTTAAGAATCGTAAAATAGAAACAAAGGAAATTTTGTTCATTCGGACAGTTTTCTTGATTGTTGTGTAGTCTATAATATTTTTTATTAAAATGTACAGCAGACATCAACGATTACTCTATTCAACAGTTATTATCGTTTAATCACCCATATCTCATCAACACTCGCAGCAATCTGTTTTTCTACATATAATATATAACGGATAATATCCACGACGAGGCACATTCTCTTATTCCAATACAATCAATACAAACATGAAATACAACCGTCGTGTACACAAAATAAAAGTAAGATCATTATTGATACAGAAAAAATTTACAATAAAATTGATGAAAAATTGAAAAGTTTACTTGACACTCATGAAAAATGGGAGTTAACTATGTATTAATAATATTTTTTTGTTTCCATTTCTGGAAGTTAAGGTAAACATAAGAGACTTTATGCAGAATAAGTATTTAAAAAATGGGATGAATTGAGGCTAAAAAAAGTGGGACGAATTATCTGAGATGAACTGAGAAAAAAATTTGTGGGACGAATTGAGAGAGAGAGAGCAATTAGGAACGCATCGAGAGTAAACACTGCATTCTTAAAACAAGCAGCTGATGAATTGAAAGCTGTTAATATAAAATTAAACATGACTGTACGATGCAAAAGTTTGAATCTATATAAACAAATGTTTTCTTAGAATTATGACAAATCCTAATTACGAATAAATAATGTCCCGTTGAGTAAAGTACAGTAAATAAGTTTCACTTATGTTTTTTAAGTTTATTATGAATACACGAATATACAATATACATTTTCAACTGGAAGATAGCGGAGGTTTCTACGGCGAGAAAAAAACAGACAAAACAAAATAAATGCATTTTCCACTATTCATATTTCATCCAACTTTGATTCATCTTCTGATAATGTAAAAATTTAATGTCTAAATGCTGCGAGCACATGGTACATCTTCACAATGTACTTTCTGAGCACGGGCATTATACACAATGCCAAATGTTTCATAGCATACACACAAGGGATGTGAACTATTATATCGAATATATTGTTTAATAATAAGATCGTTCCAAGTCCAATCCCAAAATGAATACCATGCCGTGGGTGTTAGAAACTGCATTGTCACATTCAACGCGATATGACTTGAGGGAACTGTATAGGTAGTACAAGCTCTAAATCCTAAACCACCGGCAAAACCCCACTTACAAGAGCCCGTCCATCCACATTTTTTCACTGTGTGTATTGTACCATCACTTCTTGTAATGTCATAATATATACGCTAAAAATAACGGTAGACAAATTGACTGTCACTGCATTACTGCGCAAAAATGGATACATACTACTTGGTAAGGTTGTTTGTGGTAAAGAGTGATGTGACTGTTCCTACACCCTACAACAGTTAAGAAGAGGAAATTCCACACACGGTTCGAGTATATACAAGAAATATCAATGAGGTTTTTTTCTATGTCACAATAATGACAAATCACAATAATAGTTCAACATTCTGACTATATCAGAGGAATAATGCGAAGGGAAAATCAATGTTACGTGTAACAATGATTTATTTCTTATATTAGCATACTGGATGCGTAAGAACCCTAATTCCTTTGTGAATTGAATGTTGCAAAATCTGGATTTAGAAGAAAAGAAACAAAAGCAAGATCAGCTAATCATCATGTATCAGGATACTTTTTAATGATGGTCACATTATCAGAGCGTTAAAAAGTTTAAATAACTTTTGTTAAATAATAAGTGTTCTAAACTACTGTTTACTACTCTCGAAAGTTCTGTGCAAAGTAGGGACAAATCGCAAAAGCAGAATACTTTCAGGTTCTCATAGTATCGTATGTTAATACTCTTTTTCTCTACTGTCTTCATAGATCTTGGCGGAAAATTGTCAGTCTACGGGGTTGCTTATGAGAAATTGGCGTCAGCCTGTTATGTGAGTCTTTCAGTTCACCTAGGAGGTCTGAAAGTTCCAAAATGCGAAAAATAACTGAAACAACGAACACAAAAGAGGAGAAATTATTAAATTTCGTACGAAGGCTCAACGATAATAGGGTCTATAGGGATAGACCGCAATATGTCTTTTATTGCGTTTATACGCAATAGCAATTTGCTCGTTTTTATCGCGAAAATAGTGAGCACCATAATGTAGCGTAATACTACTGTACTTCCATCTATTTTTATGATAAAGATCGTGTTATGGCATAGTGATTATTTTTTTCACGATAAAAACAGTACCGCAATAATGCAAAAAATATTGTTGAAGAAACCTCATATTTATGCGTCCTACACATCTGGAAACAAGTTCTAGTCTATTACTGTTTCCTTATTAATACAGATGTGAAAAATATTTTCTCCAACTCGAACTTACTTTTAAAGTCAAAGATTGTTGTCAAAATATTTCTGATGCATTATGAATTATTGGTACCAAGATACAAGAAAAAAATCATAATCTCACTGGATCTGTTGCTCTTACTACTAGTATTAGAAAAGCTACTAAATATCATATTACATTTTTAATACGTATAAAAAAATAATAGTTAAATGCTTACGATATGGCTCGGTCGTAATGATAGTTGAAGTTGCTGAAACATTGAAAAATAAACATCTTTATAATTCATGTTTCAGATGAAGACTCTAGTTGGGTACTAATTGTAAAATGTTCCATTACAGAGTGACATTGAAGAAGAACAATCCGCCTTGTGGCTCTCGTTACCGGTGTCGAGTCCTACCAAATGTCACTTTCAATAGCTCGATATCTTCCCTGCAGTTGACAAGCTTTTGACATGGTCACCCATCTCTTTACTAGTCATCGACCACAGCTCTGGACAGATGGCTAGTCTGATACAGAGTTCCTTCGCCCATTCAGCTCTTCGTAGACGCTAACAAACCACGTACTCATTTTCCGGACAGCTACACGAACTAGCCAGAGAAGCTGTATTCGGCTAAAACGCGTAACTGTCACCCTCAGCTGCGGTGGGTTGAGCGATATTTTTTCTCTCAAACCAACCTTAAAAGAATATCATTAGCTTTTTGCGCTGATTACGTATATCAACTTTAAAACGAACGAAACTCAAATTTTTAAATCGAAAATTCAAATTTAAAATTTAGAAGTTTTTTTATTTCAATTTTCTGACCTACTTAGTTTTTAAAAAGTTTCAGAAAGTATATCAGTGGATAAAGAATTAAATTCTCTACAAAATGCACTATTGACTTTGTCGAAACAATCTTAAAAAACGCATTTTGCACATTAAACAAGTTTTTACTGGTCTTTGCCGACTTTTTGCCGAATTCGAAATGGTACTTTTTTTGGAGCAATTCTACGAAAATCAAAAACATTTCTCCCACCGTTCTTTTTTGCATAGTTTGATAGAGGGCACTCGATTGCATAAGGCTCCGTGCAGATCAAGTTTATAGAGGTCTTTTTTACCGGTAGAAATATAACGATAAAACCCACCGCAAAAGAAAGCAAAAAAATGATGTAACTGCGTCACGGAGCCATTTCGCTTATTTCTTTTCATTTAAGCATTTTTGAGTGAAAGTAAAGAGATGATTCGAAAGCTCTTTTCATGCTCCACAACTTTTATATTAGACTTTTTTTCTGAATATGTTTCGTTTTTGGAGCATTTTTCAAAGTTTGTAGAGCACTAGAAAAAAAAAGGCTAAAAAAATGTAATTTCGTCACGACAC